ACACAATTCTGCTGGGCAGAAGCCCTTAGCCCCACCATCCCACCTCAGGGCATCAGCCCCAAACTCCCCAAAACAGTCTGGTGGCCTCCAAGAGCTGCACTTTAACTTTAAAAGAGCCGCAAGCAGCTCATAAGCTGCAATTTTACTTGGTCTTTGTGTTATAGGAAAAAATATATAATTATGAATATTTTTCCGAATGTATAATGTGTTGGAAACAAAGATACAGTATTCTTTTATAACCTATTTTATTTTTTAAATTTTTGTTTAAAAGAGTGCTGATGTTTAAAATGTAAAAGTAAAAGGGAACAACTTGGAGGAGAGAAAATGTGCACATAGACTTCTTAAAGAAAACTTTTTTTCATGCATCAAACAAAAATACAGCCTCTTCAGATAATCAGAGGAATAAACTCTTCATTGATTGGTAAAATATAGTGGAAGATTCTTTTTCAAAGATATACCATTTTCAGGGTTTCATATCAAGGAAGCTCGTTCAGCTATTTTCAGTGTGATCACTAACCATATTGGGACAGTTGCTCAGTCTGCACATAAACTATATCAATTTTCCCTTTTCTAGGAAATTCCCAGTATAGCCAGCAGCAGGCAGGATACCAACAGGGAGCAGCGCAACAGCAAACATATTCACAGCAACAGTATCCAAATCAGCAAAGTTATCCAGGACAACAACCTGGTTACGGTGAGGAAGTCGTCTTTGGCATGTTTTTGTGTTTGTAATCCCTGGTATAAATTTGTCCATTCTGCACCTAGGAACAAACATCTATCTTCCTTTGTTGCTCAAGGCACCAGCTTTAACTGACAAAAACTAGTATCTAATTCAGCATGTTATCTTACATCATACAGGATCTCTTTTACCTTGACACAGTGGACTAGAAATCTGTCTACACAGCATGCTTATTCCCCGCATTATTAACTTTACAGGTGTGGGTGGCAGGTTATTTTACTAGTGCTCAGGCCTCAAAAATGTGAAATTTGTATATAATTTTATGGGGGAGGGAATCCTACAAAATCATTACTAACTCACAGATTTCTTGCAATAATGTACGCTTTACTGCCACAATGAGAGAGGGGTAAACAGTGAGGTGGCAAAATTTGCAGATGACACCAAACTGCTCAAGATAGTTAAGACCAAAGCAGATTGTGAAGCACTTCAAAAAGATCTAACCAAACTAAGTGATTGGGCAACAAAATGGCAAATGAAATTTAATGTTAGTAAATGTAAATTAATGCACATTGGAAAAAATAATCCCAACTATATATACAATATGATGGGGACTAATTTGGCTACAACTACTTGTAGAGATCTTGGAGTCATTGTGGATAGTTCTCTGAAAACATCCACTCAGTGTGCAGTGGCAGTCAAAAAAGCAAACAGAATGTTAGGAGTCAATAAAAAAGGGATAGAGAATAAGACAGAGAATATCTTATTACCTCTATATAAAACCATGCTATGCCCACATCTTGAATACTGCATATAGATGTGGTCACCTCATCTCAAAAAATATATATTGGCATTGGAAAAGGATCAGAAAAGGGCAACAAAAAAGATTAGGGGTTTGGCACGGGTCCCATATGAAGAGAGATTAAAAAGACTTGAATTTTTCAGCTTAGAAAAGACTAAAGGGGGATATGATAGATGTCTATAAAATCATGACTTGTGTGGAAAAAGTGGATAAGGAAAAGTTATTTACTTATTCCCACAATGTAAGAACTAGGGATCACCAACTTAAATTAATAGGCAGCAAGTTTAAAACAAACAAAAGGAAGTTTTTCTTCACTCAACGCACAGTAACCTGTGGAACTCCTTGCCAGAGGATATGGTGAAGGCTAGAACTTTAACAGGGTTCAAAAAAGAGCAGGATAGATTCATGAAGGTTACGTCCATCAATGGCTATTAGCCGGGATCAGTAGGAATGGTGTCCCTAGCCTCTGTTTCTCTGGAAGTAGGTGACAGGGGAAGGATCATGTGAGAATTACCTGTTGTTATCCCTCTCTCTGGGGCTTCTGGTATTGGCCATTGTCGGCAGACAGGATACTGGGCTAGATGGACCTTTGGTCTGACCCAGTATGGCTGTTCTTATGTAATACCTAGATTTCTGATCACTAAATTAAAATAAAGATTACAGTATGTTGGGGCTTTTCTGTTGCAGAGCCTAACAATGCGCGAATAAGCAAGTTACAGCTAACTAATTTTATTTCCAAACTGATACAGGTATACATTTTTAAAAAAGGTAGAACTATGCTGACTTTTGCTTCATCGAAAACAATAATATTCAGCATTTAAATCAGTATTTAATCTTCCTACTACTCCTCTCAGAGAAAATATCACTAATTTACATATGGGGAACACAGTTTAAGGGTGTGTCTACACAGCACCCTAAACTCGAAATAAGATACACTATTTTGAAATTCAGTTGAAATAAGATATGCAATTTGCATAGCACAAATTGTGTATTTCGAAATTTGACGTGTCTACACAGTGTGTAGTTGTTTAATTGTTTTTTCCTTCCTTGGTGTAGTACTTTGATTTACCTTTATTGAATATAATCTTGGGTATTACAGATCAATTCTCTAGTTTGTCAAAATCCTTTTGAATTCTAATCCTGTCCTCCAAAGTGCTTGCTATACCTCCCATGTTCATGTCACCTACAGATTTCATCAGCATACTCTTCACTCAATTATGCAAGTCATAAATGAAGATATTAAACAGAAATAGACCCACAACAGATGCATTGAGGTTCCACTAGATACATCCTCTCAGTTTGATAGCAAACTATTGATAAATATTTTCTCTGTAGTCTTTCAACAGTTGTTGTCTAAATGAAATTATTCTAAAGGGAGTACACATTTCCCTAGTTTGAGAATGTCTTGTGGGACTGGGTAAAAATAGCCTTCTTTAAAATCAGGATATTGCATCTATCTTTTCTCCTACCATCCATTAACATTGTCAAAAAAGGAAATTAGGTTGGCGTGGCATGATCTGTTCTTGATAAATCCATGCTGGCTATTCCTTATTCTCTAGTTGCTTAAAAACTCTTTAATAATTTGTTCCAGTATCTTTCCAGGTATCAAAGTTAGGTTGACTGATCTATAATCATCTGGGTTGTCTTTGCTCCCATTTTTTTTAAAGTAGAATGTGTGCTCTTCACCAGTCCTCTGGGTCATCATCCATCCTTCATATGATCTTAAAGATAATTGTTGACAGGTCTGAGATTTCCTCAGCTACTTGGTTCCTTAAATACGCTGAGATTAATTTTTTTAGGTCCTGCTTACTTGAATGTATTTAGCTTATCTAAATATTTGTTAACGTGTTTTTTTCTCTATTTTGGCTTACATTCCTTCCTTTTTGTTGTTAATAATAATTGTGTTAAGTATCTGATCACCATTTAATCAATCTTTTAAGTGGAGCAAGCAAAACAGGTATTAAACATTTGAGCCTTTTTGATGGCATCAGTTATTAGTAAAGCTGTGAGTCATAATCACAGAATCTGTGACTTCTGCAGCCAGCTGGTGCAAATGACCCCCTCCCCTTTGCAACAATGGCTGTGCTTGGGTGTCCCTCCCTGCTGCTTACAGTAGTGGCAGCAGTTCTGAGCCAGCAGGACTGACCCCTTCCAGCAGCAGTGCAGTGGTCCCCAGCTGCCACCAACTAGCAATGGCAGTCGTCTTGGGCCAGTGGGGTACCCGTTAGATGTGGCTGCTGTGGTCCTGGGCCACTGCTCTCCCAGCACCAGCAGGTACCCCAGATCCATGACCCTATACAGCAGCAACTGTACCAGCAGACCCCCTCCAAACACCAAAGATATAGTCAAGAGTATATAGTACAAGTCATGGACAGGTCATGAGGCCATGAATTTTTTTATATTGCCTGTGACCTGTCCTTGACTTTTACCAAAAATGACAATGATTAAATCTTAGCATTAGCTGTTAGCTCTCCTTCCCTGGTAAACAGAGGACCTGAACTTTGTTTCCTTTCTCTTGCTCCTAATATATTTAAATAACCGGTTCTTATTACCTTTTATGTCTCTTTTCAGGTGTGACACATTTTGTGCCTCAGCCTTTCTGATTTGGTCTCTTTTGTACTCTTCTGTAATTCATCTATATTTCCACTTGTAGTAAGATTCCTTTTTGATTTTCAGGTCCTTGAAGACCTTCGACAGAGCCATACTAGCCTCTTATTGTTCTATCTTTCTTTTGCAGGTCCTGCACAAGGAGCCTCTTCACAGTATTCCAGCTATCAACAGGGACAGGGGCAGCAGTATGGAAGTTACAGAGCGTCTCAGACAGGACCATCTGCCCAACAACAGAGGCCTTATGGCTATGAGCAGGTAAATTATCTTAATTTCTGCTACAAAGAGTCTTCCTTTTTTCAGGAAGTCCTGACTTGGAGGAACTCAGCCTTTCTGGCACTCAGGAAAATCTGAGGTGGAAGACCCAGATCCACTGTTATACAAGGAAACCCAGTGTGAATGTAATGGCCAATGCATTATTGGGTCGATCCAATGTTGTAAACCAAAAGATAATAATTTCATCCAGTCCCCGTGTGCATGACACAGAAATGATATTGTCTTCTAACATGTTGTATTTTGTAATTTTTAACAGGGTCAATATGGAAACTATCAGCAATAAAAGGAGAAGCTTCTGTATCTGATTCATTTCAAAGTATATCCATCTTTTTAACTGGATATACTGGCAGTTTTGATTAATTGTAATATGTTGGTTACCCCTTAGCACAAAGCAGCGTCTGTATGTGAACAGTGTTCATTTCATGCTGGATATGAAGCAGTGCACTACTGGTAACAAGACAATGCTTTAATGGTTTGATATATTTGGTGCTGTGTATAGTATGTATCTTGATAAAATGCAGAGATTTTGTTTTCCATTCTTGATGTTTCTAAATAGCTTAGGGGTCATTTGATCAGAGTTTTTATGTGCCCAGATCTAGGAAACAGCTTGGATATTCTGCAATCCAGCTAAATACAAAGACCACTCAGTCACATCTTCCCATACAGTTAGTCTAATGTAGGTTATGAAACTATGTTTAACTAGATCTATTACAATTTATCTGTTGCATATGCCAGCCTCTGAAATCTGGGGCTCTCAATTGTACTACATTAAGGTATGGAGACAGGTGCATTGTTTACATTGATCCAATTTCCACACTATAAGACAAAAATAAAAGCAACTGAAGTGATAGTTCATTTGCTGAAGACATTATGCTCAGCAAATTTATATAGCTGATTACCCATGTCTTCTGATTTAATATCTGCACAGCTTCACATTTTTGTAGTAAAAGGTACAAGTGATCAAAACCTATATTCAAGGAAATATGAATATCCAGAAGCACCTTTTATAGATCCATGAAAGTATGCTAGAAATCATGGGTTTAAAAAATAAAAGAGAACTCTGGGAATGAATCTGTAAGTCTACTAAAATCAATAGTGCTTTGTATCATGTTTAGCTGACAAACGTGACCACATTCCAGTCTAAAATATGCTACTCCAAATTTTATCACAACATATAAATATTCATGCCAAATTTCCCCAGTTGAGGCAATTTTTAATTTTTGGTGTTCTCTACTAGTTCAGATTTTCCAGAAAGCATTATAGCTATAACATCAGGTTATAAAATTGACTTTATCTGCGGTTATTCATCACTTTTACTTTTCTCTAGCATTTTGATAGAAATAACACAGAATTAGTGTAAAAATCCCATCTTTGATTCAAAGGAAAAATCAGTAAATCAGCTTCATTATGCATATAGAAAGGTGACTGTTAATGGGATTTGACTATTAAAACAAAACTTATAGAGAATGAGAAATACTGTGAAAGTGGTACTTAAAAGCCAATATGAACAATGCAAGTATATGTTCAGTTTTAAATTTATAAGAAATCAAAATTTCTGTGACTAATGGGTTAAAATCACTTAAATATATTTAATATACATTATTTAAAAATTATTACCTTAAAGTTAACTGGATCTTTCAAAATATAGAGTTAAATATACTCTCTATATTTTTTCCCTTTTCTTTGTCTAAAATGAGGTGTTTTAATGGATATTTTGAGTTGTGAAATTTTTATATTCTGAAAACTAACACCACTCAGAGAATGTAGATGTCACACTTCAGGTTTGGATTTATTTTTCCTGAAGAAAATCTTAATACTTGCTAGCTAAACAGTATATTATTAAATGTTGTTCAAGCTCTTCCCTTTACAGCATTAACACTTCTAATTGTTGACCAGTGAAATGGAGCTAGCATTTTTTTATTCATTCTTCATTTCGCTTTTTCTTCATGCTGGTGTTTTCATACACCTGAGTACTCTTAAATATCAAATAAGGCACAGAAAAGAAGTTTGAAATGTTTTTTTTTTTTAAATCTATGTTAATGTTACAGGTAGACAGAAGAATGCAATATTGTTCCTTGCCAGATTGGAAATATGCCTTTTATGTGGTTTTTGAAAGTGCTAAAACAATACTTTTGAGATATGAACAACATTAAAAAATTAAACAGCAACATTACATCTATCTGAAATGTCTTACATTAAGAATTTCTTGAATGTTGTGTATATACTGTATTTGAAAGAGCACTTTGGAAATAGTTTGTACATTTATTTCCTAATTTATACATGATTTTGGTGTTAATATTTCTAATTGTTAATAATGAAATGTTTATTTAATGTGTTGTCCATTTTTATGTATTAATGTGGAAGCAGAAAGTGATGCCAGCATTTTGACTTTTTTCATTAATTGTACCATTTTCTGTTTTGTAATACACGTTTTAAACTGGCTTAGGTTAAAATGAACTAATTGTGAAGCCTATTGATGGTACTTTTCCTATGACGCAAAGACTTTTTAAAAAGGACCAGTATAATAACAATGGGAGATTTCCGTTTTTATTGCAGACTTTGGAAAGAATGCCTCATCATACTCCTTTCCCTGATAGTCTGTCATACTTCAGGTAAAAATCATTGCATGTAAAAACACTTACCATGGTTTTCAGATGTTCTAACTCTAATTTAGTCTGCAAACCTGAAGCATTATACTTTTATGCTGGACCAATACTGTCTCTGGAGAGTAAACTGTAACTTAATGTTGCAGATATATCCTGTTTCCACAGATGTCAAAGACAAAACCCCTACTGATATTAATGGGAGCAGGCTCAGGCCCTGAAAATTCTGATAATGAAAAGATTATGCACATGCTTAACTTTATTCACTGCACATATATTTAGTGACTTAAATGATTCACTGAGCAGAGCACCTAAAACGTTCCCAAGCTGGGTAGATCTGCTAGCTCTTCTCCAGCTAGCACACTACCAGCAAAGCAACAAGGCCAGGCAGCAGCTCAAGCTAGTGTCCAAATATGTATGGGGGAAGGCAAGATTGGACTCAGGCGGCTAGCTTGCTCTGCTGTGGCCCCAACTATTTCAAGGGTACCAGCCTAACTCCTAGCTGACATAAGTCCTGTAGCACCTTAGAGACTAAACCATCCATTTACCAGTCAGTCTCTTAAGGTGCCACAGGACGCCTCCTTGCTTTTTGCAGCTACAGACGAACATAGCTACCCCTGAGACTTCCCAACTGCTATGTCACCTGCCCCAGAAGGAGTGAAGTCTTGGCCAGGCTCAGGGCGGGCAAAGTGGGCTCATAGCAGGGGTCTGGGTGTCGCTGAGCAGAGGGTAGTGTAGCATGCTGGAAGTGCTGGGCAGGGGGCACAGGTGGGAGGAAAGTGCAGCGGTGGGGATGAAGGGGGCACAATGCAGGGTTAGTGGTAAAAGGGGCACAGGGCAGGGGTGCATGTAGTGGGGAGCCAGTGGGTGCCGGGAGCAATGGGTGGTGCTACGCCCGCAGGGGTCAGAGGCCCCAAAAGACAAGTTTGCCTGAGGCACCGTTTCCCTAAGGCCTGTCCCCGGCCAGGCTCTATTTCGAGAGCCGGGAGGTAACGAAGGGGGCGCAGGAGCCACAGCGCAGGTCATTTCTAAAGCAGCGGGGCTTTGGGCCGCCGCTTTTACACACGCGAAGGGGGCATCTCCCGGCAGCGAACACGCCAGCGCGCTGCTCTCCACAGGGGCGGCAGGGCCCCCGTCCCGGCAAGCCAGAGATGGGGTGACGCCACGCTCCCGCGTGCTTACAGCGCCGCCGACGGAGGGGCGGGGGGTAGACGTCCAGCCGGATGGGAGCGAAGAAAGGAGGGGACAGCGGCACCTGACGGAGCCGTGAGCCAAGTTCGTTTTCCCGCGCTTTCCATTCCTCCCCTCAGACAGAGGGGGGAGCGAGCTGCGCGTGCGCCAATCTGAACGGCGAGGACGTAACTTGCGTGAGAGGTCGTGAGCGCCGCGTCTCGGACCACGTGACGCGAGTGGGCGGAGCCGGGAGGGGCTTCTCACGATTGGTGAGTACTGGGGGAAAGAGAAGAACTTAAGGTAGAGGTGGGGGAGGGGAGTTCTGGGGGC